GAGTAGAAAATCTTTAATGTCTCTTCCCGGTCCTGTAATTTCCAATAATTCTTGTCGCCTGACAGTGTAATGGCTAAAGTTTCGTGCTAAACGTTTGATTGGGCCGCCGCTGTGCCTCGAGTTAATCGTCCAGTTAAATTTTCTCAGCCGGTTAGGGGTACACATATTTCTGTAGAGACAACTTTGAGCAAACATAATTTAGCAAGAAATTATGGAGTAATCGTGTGACACCTGATCTTGTTTAACGTTCAAAAAAATTTGAATTCAAGTTGTAATTATATATATACCACATACTTCAAACAATCACTGGGATTATTCTCTTAAACAGCAAAAATGTATCTTTATAACGGTGAACAGCAGTGTTTTCTCTGCAGTTTAAACTGAATTATTAAATATTATTAAGGTGAGCTTCTGGTTCAAAGGGTTAAATGTCTCAATGCCCTCTATAGGAGATGACTAAAATAATTGTTATAATTATGGCTGTCTTCTGACTTGTGGCGCCGTGTAGTCTGGTAGAAGTTTACCAACGTTTCAGAGGTCCTTGCAATGGATGTTTGTGAAATAAGTTGCTGGTATGTGAAATGGAACGAAACTGCTGAGAAGAGGGTAATTTTATGATCACGGAGATGAAACTTACGGATCCATTGCCACGCAAAAAGCCCCTGCGCTGTCGCTTTATTCGTCTGTCTGTCAGTTTGGCAACGGCTCTTTGAAGTCAGTCTTCCATACTGCGACGCCGTGGGATCTTGGGGGGTCTTGGTGTTACCAACGTTTCAGAGGAAAGCATCACTTCCATCTTCAGGACGAAGACGGTGGTTTCCAACGTTTCGGAAGAACGTATCAAGATCATATTCGGGTGAGGTTGGAGGCGATACGTTTCTACTTGACCGTACGGTGTCAAACCCAGAAGACCACCATCGACATCTTGACTGCCATGAAGACTTCAGAATGAGCTATTGGGTTGGTAAGCTTTTTGCAACTCGTAATTTTGACGTTGTTAACAATCAGTGTTCTGGTTAAAGATACGTTTTTACGACAAAGTTTGTACCTTAATCAACAGGGAATTTCTTTCCGTTTTTGACAAATCTATATTTAAATTACTTTCCGAGTTACGATTTCAACAGGAATGCGGAATATCGACTTCAGTTTCCTGTCCTGAACAGCTGAAGGAACTTTGAAGGGGTGCAATCCCAATTCGAGGCACCTGTTTCAGGACGCCGTTTGAATCCCAGTCCTTGTCTACCGAATTTCCAATTATCTCAAAATGGCGCCACGCTGTAGAGCAAAGTTTTACATTACTTTTCGACGAAACACACGCTTCTTAAAGCACACCTGCCACAACGAGAATCCATTATCTCCAAAATACGCTAATTCACTGTCATTTTAATCCACACTTTCAATACCGCAAACAAAAGTCCCAATGACGCTTCAACCTGATTCAAAATACCAAAACCTATTTCTTAAGAACAATGTTAATATTATTTTTCCATCTCAGTTTTGGTTTTAGAAATGGATTATCTCCAAGATATGCCCTATTTATGAACTCCACACGTATTTCTTGCTTTCTCTCACCTGTGCTATATGCCTATCTACACTAAGCTCCCGGATCTGCTCTGTCAAAGCCAAACTATTCCATGGCACTTTCTTTGAAATAATGTGCTCCTACTCATCAAATTAAGATACCATGTCTCATATACGCACAAAACAAAAGTCATTACAAACTTGTTTTATAGGCCAAAACCTCAGTGGTTAGTGTTGCGGAGATTAGTCGAACAACAGTTGGTTCGTAAATTTGCATTTTAGACTCTTTCTTTGTGTGATTAATACATAGTCTCGGAACAGAAGCTGGCTGCAGGAAATTGATTCCTTGAGTAGCCAATAAATGTAGAACAACTTATTTACTGGACAAAAAATAAGTTATATATCAACACATGAAAAATATGTAATTATATCTTATTTCCTTCTTTAATTTCTTAATTAATAATTCTTTAACTGATTAATTTTATTGCTTGTAGCCTGGAGACGCACAGAGATTGTGTTACAACGCAGCTGTAGTTTTCTTTTTCAATCTAAAAAAAAAAAAAGTTTGTGTTTTTATTCAGACTTTTATTTTTGTGGCTTTCAACATTATATCTTTTCCACAGTGTACTGACAGGGTATTTTATAGGTCACTGAGACAGTCAATTTTTCTGTAACTTAGATTTTCCGAATTGATCTGAATTTCATTAATATGCCAAGCATATGTACGTTCTTCTGTAGGTCTGTTTGTCACCAACTGATTTTCCATTTCGAGAAAGTAAACAAGTATTTTATACCTGCCCCACTCTTTTATTTTGACTTTTACTAAAATTTTCGTTACAAAATTTACATAGTACTTTTTGAAGACCTTATTGAATGACAATGAGGATTTCTTCAATTTCTAGAGTTTGCAATTTAAGTCATGGCCCTTATAATTTGAGGACGTGCAAGTACAAGATTTTCAGGTCGGTACAATCATAATGAAGGTACTTAAATTCTTGAAGACAAGAAGATCAAATACACTCGTACAGATAGGACATTTCCAAAAACTGGGTTCTATCAGATGCGCTGCTTTCGTAAAGACACGTAGTATACACCCTCGCGGACAAAAAACCCCATAAACATCTCTTTCTTTATGAAACAAGGAAAACAACCTCATAACTCTGGAAAATCTGATTGCATAAAACCGAATATCAGGATGTCAGTAAGGAACAAGAAGACGCAGGCCATGAATGTAACTTCTATCAGTATCTACAACATTACAATACTGAAGACCCTGTTTAGTGACGCAATGCCACGAATTTGTATCCAAGATGGACGCCAGGTTCCATGTCTTTATCAACTTGAAGATATCGATGTTTCGAAAAGACAGAACTTTCTGAGGAAGAGGTTGTTAGCATAACAACTTGAACTACCTCTTTTCCGCCTTGTTTACAAAACAAACAGCCTTCTTTGTGCAGTCTTGTCGATGAGGTCTACTGTCTTCTTCTGTTCCTGTCAGAGCTCCTAGCTCAGTAATTGCTTTTGGGACTGCACGCCCTGCCTTATTTCGTTGTCGTAGCAACCAAACGTCTTTGCTATGATCTTCATGTAAATAACAGAATTAAGACAAATATATGCTACTGTACGTCATTTTCGATATTCATTGAACGTGATAAGAAAATAGCAACTCGTGGAAGCCTTACGCGTATTTCTCAGTGCGTTTAAACTATATTATTATTATTTTTTCTTCCTTCACAGAAAATCCTGATACTGTTTCTCTTGAACGAATGGTGATCCCCACCACTCAGGCTACAAGTTCTTGATTGCATGATGTTCCTAGTATGGTGTTTTTTAGAGAATCAACGGACTATTTTCCTTTCTTTTTAGTCCTTTAGTTACAATTCGTGTGTCTCCAGTGATTACCGGTATGACAAAATATTTTTTCCCACATTCGCTGAATTTATATACTTAAATTGTTGTACGTTTATTTATTTTCGGACTCCTTCGTTATCACGTTTCTCCCTGATAGTATTGCTTCATCTGTAATTTATCTTTCTTGTTTCTAATTGCCACGCCAGGCCTATTCGCCAGAACCTCTCTATCTGTTTATATTCCTTGATTCCACAGTAATGTTGTTCTCTTGTTTACATACTAGCTCAGGTGTACGTGAGTACCAGTTTTCTGTTGTTTCAAGTGCTTCATGATTGATTATTAAGTAGTGTGGATGGGTACTGATTTATCATGTCTTATTATATATTTTGTGCATAGTCGACATCTACTTTTAATTTATTCTCTCGGGATTTTTTAAAATAGTTTGTGCTGGTTACTTGATCCTGAGCTGTCACAATTTTATTTTCTGTTTCTCTCATAAAGTTTCCTTATTGTTGTTATTATAATTATTATTTTATTGCATTCTGTACCGTTTTTACTTTACCTTCTCGTGCTGACTGTAATTTGCTTCTGTAACTGGTGAATCAGCACGTTAAAATAATTGAATTGTTATTAGTAGCTGGGAATTTCTAAAACTAAGTCAGGTTTAAAATGATTAGAAACCTATTATTGAGAAAACAGTAATTTTTTACATTAATCTGCATATAACTGAAACTTGTATTTAAAACTTTATATTGACAGAATAAATATGTAAGATATAAATATTTACAAATACCATAGCTGAAGTAAATCTGCTGAACTATTCTGGCGCTAAAGAAGTTAAAAGAGCAATTCAAAAAGCTACATGTTTGATGCAAAGTGAAACATCTCGAAGAATGCAGAATGGAACAAACCTGTGTTTTAAAAAGTAGTAGAATTTATCACGTGCAAAGCAGTTGTCCATTTACATATTACTCTGTTAGATAGCAGCACCATGCTGCAAATTTGCCATGCATAGCTGCATTTGTTGCCACTAGGTGGCAGACACCTCCTCCATATTGCACACGCGTGTTCCTTTCAAATGTTTATAATTGCACTCCTTGATTACATGTAGAAATATCATGAGGATGTACATGAGAAGAAACCCCTACAGTTTGTTTAAGATATTCTGTTTCTCATTGTGTTATACATGAACGAGGTTTACAAAATTTGGCAACAACGGGCGGGAAAATTTTTTTTACGGAGAAAAGTATTCAAGATGTAAGGACCCGGGAACGGAATTCCTTACAGCAAAACGGGTGACAGAGATCAAGATAAGGTAAATTACTATCTGAAACCTTCACGCAAATCAACATTTTATGTCCGTTGCATGTTATGAAGTTAGGAAAAAAAAATGTTTTTGACACGACAGGTTTCAAAATATGACGACACCTCGTTGTCCTTCATACGAAGTTCGTCGCCGCAGTTCCTACTGGCTCCTTGGTCAGATTAGCCTCGTATGTCCTTCTTTTGTCAGCGTAATTTCAACCGACACCCCCCCCCCCCAATTATCTTAAGTATTGTGCTATGTTAATTCAAACATACCCCTCCACATGTTCCGTCCTTATGAGGAAAACATATGCGCATGCGTATCGCAGCCTTCTTGATATGTAACCGTGTGAGTCACAGCCTTGAAATGAGTTCCGAAAGTGTTAAGACGTATATAAGTGGTGTTATTATTGATCCGGCACATATTTTGCATTGGTGTTTGAAAATAATATTGTGTCAGGTTGTTGGGGCTCATTACAAATATTTCCCTTTTAGCGGGAAAAATATTTTTACGGAGAAAAGTATTCAAGATGGAAGGACCCGGGAACGGAAACGGAATTCCTTACAGCAAAACGGGTGACAGAGATCAAGATGAGGTAAATTGATTGCGCTTCTTTTGTGACATTGTGGCGGGCAAAATTGAAGAAGCCATAGGGTGATTTAAAGTGCACAGTTTTATTTCCCTTCCCCAACATAACCTACTTGTTCACAACCACCTAAACAGTGTAATACATACTATGTTGTAATTAACTCAAGACCAGCTAAGTTAAGGGAAAAGGAGTGACATAAAATTACTAGTCCCTTCCTAGCAGCAAGTGGAAGAGAGTCATGTCTGTTTCTTCTTTTCTTGCTGTTACTTTATATTTTTTTAAAACACCAGTGGGAAGGCAAAGGACCAGCAACAGAACAGTTTTAGTGTGGTCTTACTTACAGACAAGTTTTGAATACAATGTTTGTGCCAAATGGTGAAGTTTCTAATTGTCATACCAACAAAGAGGTCTCTACTTTGTAGCTGAGGAAATTCATTGAAAGTATAAACATTTAAGCCCATCCTGGTTCTGATTAAAGATTTAACTGCTGACTAATCTGTGACTTTGCCATAAAAGAGTAATGAGATTTGGGCCATGTTGCTGTGTGGTCTTGTAGGCAATTACCAGCATTTTGCAGGATTGTATCATTTCCATAGTAAGGAGAAACTGAGTAATTAGTTACTTGAATTTTATTGTATCAATTACAGAGGTTGAATGGGATGTGACATGATTGTGAATTCTGAATTTGGCAGGTAATGGAAATAATCATTTTGTCCTATTTGAAGCTGCTGTCCCAGGATTTACTTAACCAATATATTTGATGCCTTGGCCAGGTTCAAACTGAGCATCTCCTGTTTTGTTACAACTGAGTGAAACTAATTTGATAAGTGAGAAAACCATTGACATGATAGACTGGCTGGATCTTCTGCTAAGGTTCTGTCTAGCACCACTAAGAGTTCCTTGGTGAGAGTTTTTAGAAAACTGTGTAAAGTTTTGTGGTGCTTAATTTCAGAAACTGTTACAACCATTTACATACATTCTGCAAGTTCCTGGTAAGCAGATTCGAGCAAAGTTGGCCCATGCTTTCAACTACTGGTTGAAGATTCCAGCAGATAAGTTGGTTGTTGTGGGAGACATAATTCAAATGCTTCATAATTCTAGTCTGCTGTAAGTACTAAGTACTGCTATTATCTCTGATTAAGGGCATTTTCATTGCATTCATTACATGTTAGAAATATTCATCTAGTGTGGTACTTTGTACATGAAATCTCTGAGACTTAGAAGTGTCAAGTGGCTATCACAGCAAGCCACTAAGATTTAAACATAATTTTAAATATAATAAGTAAATAGGTATTAAAGCTGTGTAATAAAACTTTATGTTGAAACTATGCAACACTTTACATTACAGAATTGATGACATTCAGGACAACTCTATTCTGCGTAGAGGTATCCCTGTGGCACACTCAATATATGGAGTAGCCAGTACAATCAATGCTGCCAACTATGTGATGTTTATAGCGCTGGAGAGGGTACTGAGCCTTAACCACCCTGATGCAACAACAGTATACACGGAACAACTCCTGGAGCTGCATCGGGGGCAGGGAATGGAGATCTACTGGCGTGACAACTACACTTGCCCATCAGTAGAGGAATACAAACAAATGACTAAGAGAAGTAAGGATAGGGTCAGAAAGTATGATTTAACTGGACATCCGCTTCCTGTACATTTTTAATAATTTAGAATAGGATTCAGAAATGGTGGCCATCAGGATCTTGTAGTTGGAAAATTATTAGAAATGTGAGAAAATATTATTATTCAGATACCAGTAAGGAATTTTGAGACAGGAAAAAAAACCTGCCACTGGAATTTTAATTATAAGAAGAAGCAGTTTCTGGGAGATTTAATATGGATGCATCTAAAGTCCCAAGTATTTAATGCCTATTCAGGTTTTTTCAGAGTAAACTTTTTGGTTGTGTTCTCAAATCCCACACTTTAAATTCTTTTGAAGGAAAGTGGGCACAAGTTGAAACAGTTTATGTCATCATAATTCCCATATGACCAAGTTTTTTAAGTTTCATGTTGGCACCCAGTGTTTTATTCCACGCGTTTCCTCAGACATATTTGCTTTTGACACTGAATATTGTTACCTCATATATAGAAAAGAGTGTGTTACTGTTGTGTTGAGTTGCTGAAATATAAAAATCTATTTTTAACAGAAACAGGCGGACTGTTCATGCTTGCAATTCGACTCATGCAACTGTTCAGTGAGAACAAAGCTGACTTTACCAAACTGAGTGGCATCTTGGGGCTGTACTTCCAGATTCGGGATGACTACTGCAATCTCTGTCTGCAGGAGGTGACACCTGAACTATTGTTTCTAAATGGGTGAAGTTGCCCGTGTCGCTTAAGCACCATGCCATGAAGGTGCATAGGTGATGAGATTGACGTGAAGACCCATACATTCTAGACCTTGAGGCTAGATGGGGGTGAGTGGTCGGTTTCATAGACAGATATTTATATTGCCGTTCTTGACCGTGTTTAATATGCCTGTATATGCTGTATTACTAGTCAGATTCTGATACAGCACTTATCTATATCCTTTCACCCTCGCATTGCACCCATGAAAGCTTCAGAACAGAAATTCCCTCTCTAATTTCCATGAGAATACCCTGGAAAAGTGCCACCCCCACTAGTTGTGATGCTCCGTCTGTGGCAGTACGAATGCACTGTTAAGCGTTATAATCAAGCCTGATACAGTGCCGTGCCATTTTGTTTCCACTGACTGAACAGACAGCTCCATGGAAAATTCATTTGTAAAAATAGTGCACGCCAACAATTCTGTGTTAAATGAAATGTACTGATAGTGACATGGGTTGTTATCAGAGTGCAGCAGTGTAAATGGCAATATTCTAAATCCAGGCGCTTACAGTAAATGAACCTGTTACTAGGAGAGGCCTTGATCTGAAAGGGGGAACGTTGACCAGAATAAGCCGTGCACAATGACAGACAGAAATCTGAGAATTCTGATAGCAGAGTTGCAGATAATCCCCCTTTTTTGCTGTTTGATAGGGCTCATAATGAAAGCTCCCTTCTCAAATTTCTACACTCTCGTATTTATATTAAAAATGAACTGACATACAGTGTGCACGTACACTTCGGTATTAATATAGTTGCTGCACTGAAGACAGACTAAGAAAGGCCTATAATCAGTTGCATTTATGTGAAAGGGGGCGAGGGGGAAGTGTGTACGTACAAGAACAGTATCCTGATGAGCCAGTAAAATATTGTGAACTATTTCTCCCTTTTTTTGGAAACCCATCCATCCATCAGCACTGTGTCGGTAAAAAAAATGAGAATTGGAAGTGGTTGTAGGGTGCAAAACTTGAAAAACCTAGATGTAGTATTTGGGTAAGGCAACGAAATGTGAAAAATGGAACAGTAACTGAAATTAGCTAGGAACAAGTGAATGAATTTGGTCAGTGGATAATTGGCAATTTTTTTCTTCTTCCCCCATGTAAATTGGTATGTATACTTCTCCAAAAATGAGATTATAGTAAAGATGAGAGTTGCTACAATTACATAAGTAAATATATTTAGTTACATACTCCACAATTTTGCATTTTCTTTTACTTCCAAGATCTTAACTAAAGTGTTTCACACACTATGTATTATTTTAGTACATTAATTAATAACAGTTCTCCCAAACATAAAAATATTTTTATTTATTTCCAACCCCTCTTTAATGCCATTATTGGTGGTTGATAGAGAGTGGTGCTATAATAGAGCTTGTGACTCCTGAATATAGTGTCTTTAATTCACAGGAAACACTACTTTTAACTAATTTTTCCCATGTCAATGATTGTGCTGTGAAAACTTAATTTCTTTTTAAAATCCCTGTTTCTTTTTATACCTCCTATGTACTCTCATGGCTTGGTGTTAAGTGCTATCATTACTTTTAGAAAACAAAGTTCCATAACTTGAAACTTAGATTTCATGAAACTTTAAATTATGTCTTACTTAATGTTGGTATGTAGCTTACAAATATTTGCTTTTGTGTTTGTTGCAGTATTCAGAGAACAAAAGCTACTGTGAAGATCTCACAGAAGGAAAATTTAGTTTCCCAATAATCCATGCTATAATGAATCGACCAGATGACAATCAGGTGATACGTATCCTTCAATGCAAGATCCATTTATTATTCAATACTAACAAGACTTCCTTAATGGTACTTAATGTGATAAGTGTTTGTCTGCAAAGTGGATGTCCTGTGTCAAGATAATGCATGGGAAATGTTATTTTCTTTGTAAGCTGGTATGTGGAAAGGCGACTGATGTGTGCCCAATTATAGCCGTTTTATTGTCCCTTCTCTGCGAACATTTCTGATATATTTTGTTCCAGCTGGTGGTTTCTGGAGCTCAGTCTGGCTGACTATGCCCCTCGTATTTTGTGTTTGTCGATATGATACGTCTTGCACGTAGAGTATGCCACCTTGTGATATGAACCTAAAATGAAACTTTTGGCTTTAAGCAAAGAAATTTTAAATTTATCTTTACAATAGCAGGAACTTTATCATACAGGAGTAGAGGGGTTAAATCCTTGTACTCTGTTGCTGCCAGCTGGACTTAAGCTTTGGGAATAGCAGATCAGCAGTTCAACAGTTCAGCATATGCTACTGCAATGCAATACCAGCAGAAAGTGGTCAAATGGTCACTAGATGCCATGTAGTCTCGTACATGGATATCCTAATTGTCAAACTGCATATTGTTGCCTCCATATAGCAATGGAGAGGTTTGTTACAGAGATGTTCGCTTGGAACAGGACAGAGAAACCTGATTTCGGTTGTATGCTGCATGAAAAGACACAATTGTTCAGAAAATGTTTACTTTTTTAATATAGAATTTTTGGTTATTTAGAAACCAAGTTTCTTGTTGTGAAAATGGAGTTTATATGATAATGGGAATGCTGGCCCTTCCTTGCTTGGGGTGTTTTGAGGACCACGTAACAAAGCTTGATTGATAAGGTTTTCCTTTGCCTTGTTTTAAAAACCACGAAACATTTTTGAAGTCGGCTCTTATGTAAGTGAACAACCTGTTCAGAAGCTAATTTTAGTGGACCCCATCTGTTTAGATTGTTCATCTGGTGTTAGACATAGGCACAGTGTTTGAAATAAAGATGAAGGAAAACTGTCCAAGAATATGTGTAAGGTTAATGGCATAATAATAATAATAATAATCCGTGGCGTAACAGCCCTCCGAGAGCCGAAGCCGACTAGCTGGCTGCTGGCCTCACGTTCACATGCCTAAGCAGATCATCCAACCAGATATAGGGTGACGTGTGGTCGGCACGATGAATCCCCAGCCATTGCAAGTTTTTACGCTACCCATTGTAGCTCCCCAATTTCCTCGCGATGCTGGGTTGGCACCGGTCCCTTACGCCGGTCGAAAATCTCATGTGAAATTTCTTACCCAGAGACTCGAACCTGCGCGCATTCCATATCTCCGGTCTGAAGCATGATGCCTCAGACCACGAGGCTAAGGCGCCTGACAGGTTAATGGCATACCTTTATCGAAACTCAAGATAGAAAGGGTCACTGTTAAATGACTGAAAATTCTATATTGTGATGTGGGTTGTGATGCCGCGTAGTCTTGTGAGGTGCAACAACTTTTGTATATTTGTCTTGACTGCAACTGCTCAGATATCCTGCGACAACGGTCTCAGGACGTGGAAGTAAAGAAGTATTGTATCACACTGCTGGACAGGTTTGGGTCTTTCAGCCACACCAGAAATACTCTTGAGGAGCTTGATGCTGAGGCAAGGGCAGAGGTATCTAGACTGGGAGGTAATCCACTGTTGGAAGCTGTATTGGATGAACTGCTGAACTGGAAGAGGATGTCAAACCAGAAGAGCCCAGAGCAGTGATGACGACCTCTTACCATGATTTTTATTGGTATTGTTTGTATGCAGCTGGGAACTAATTCATGTTTTGTGTTGACTTAGGCTGGATTATGAAAAATGTTTGCTGGGCATGGGCATTCTTTATGTTGGTCAACTTTCCAGTCATTATTTATTGTTACTAGTATAACCCTTATGAGAAAAATATACATGACTCAAGAAGGTATGTTTGGACATATTTTTGTTAATGTTTCTAAGTGATATGACCAGTTTGCATTTAACAGATTGGTTTCACAGTTTGTTATAGGAAGTTCTAATATGAAATTCAGTCTGAGTGTGTTGAGCGCATGGTGCACGATCTGGGTTTTTCCCCCATAAATAATGCCTAATAAGCAGGTCTGCAACTGTAGGTGCCATCTACATGTTTTTTAGGAATCAAGTGCATTCTACGTGTACTATATGTATAGAGAATTTTAATCATATGATCAAGTAGTTTTCAGTTCCTTTGACAGTCATGACTCAACAAGTTCCTGCCTCACCCATGGGTTAGTCAGGGCAACATTGTATTAGGTTGACAACCAAGAATAGTCTACCAGACTGCATAGCGCTACAGCCAAGAAGACAGCCATCCTTGTTTTTACTGTTTTTTAACTTAAAATCCTGCAAGAACAGAAATGTTCCAAGTCAGAGATACACAAGATTTACTTACTAGGTACAGCACATTGTAACATTGTTGAATGTTACAGGGGTTTATGAGTAATGGGTATGTCTTAATAAACAATAAAAATATTTAAATCCCGTGATTTATTGTTGTCTTGAATCACTACATTACCAAATGCCAGTTCTATTATTATACCCTTCAGTAAATTCCCATTCAGTAAATCCTTCCATGTTGTTCATGTCATTGTCCTCTAAAATACTGACCTGTCCATTGATTCATATTTTTTTCCCATCATCTAAGGTCCTCTGACACAGCCTCTATGTTTGAACCTTAGATGAAGTCTTGTTACATGTTAACACATTTACTACACTTGCTATAAATATGTTAATCCCACCCATATATTAGTTTTAAGAATTCTGGATGAAACTGACATCAGTTGACGATGAGAATACCAATAGACACTGTCCTGTTAACGTTAGGAATAAGTTCCTCTCTAGCAATCGCGTGGTTTGGCTACAAACAAATTCCCCACCCCCAGTTAACATTAGTATCGTTCGTAGATGATACGAAGTTTAGTTACTGTGAGCAGATTTTTAAAGCATACTTCCCTCACAATGCTAGTTTACAGTCCAATTTGACAATATTAGTGTAGTTATAACCAGATAGCTTGGTGTTGTGAGGTAGTCACAAGGAGAATTTGATGGTAACAACACCACTTCCAGCTCTATCTAGAATCAAATCAACATGCTTGTGAGTACTGCTAACCCAGTTTACTGCAGTCCAGTAATTAAATTTGAACAATGCTAACCAAATTCCACATATCACGGTGTTTTGCACCATTCTACAGACCGGAGATAAATTCAAGTAGGATGCAGGTTACTTGCTGGAATGCAGCGCATAAAATGTATGTTAACAGTTAGCGGAATCACCCTGGGGAAGTAACGGAGTCGCATAGCTTCACCTTAAAACAAAATTACAACCCTACCAACACAACTGCAAAAGGTATAATCAATTAACTATGATGTTCGGTGATCAGCTTTGTTAACGAGTTGTCCAATAATGGAACATTTTTCTGGAATATTAATAATTTTTATTTAAAGTTGACTTTTATAAGAGTACATGAAGATAAGTCACAACTATTAAAATTGTCACTGTGGAGGTGTGATGCATAAATATAAATACATAAATTACTGATATGAAATATTAAGATACATCATTTCATGAAAACCCTATTTTTGTACTATCACAAAGGAAGGGCACAAAACAAATTGGTGTCCATTATTTAGCAACAAATGACAGTGCAGATTTTTGTTTCTCATTCTTGACATTATTAGCAACATGGTAGGTGGCACAAAAGACTGATTTTGAAAATGGTAAAAATTAACAGCAAAACAGATTTGAATGAAAGTCACAATTTGTATATAACAGTAAATTGCACAGCTTATTGCATTTCATACATTTATATACATTATGTTCATAGTAATCCAGTTTATTTATAGACTGAAAGGGATCTAAGGAAACAAATGTATATAACAAAATATTTTTGCTAGTGGTTACAGCTGTTTGTAACATTTTTACCATTGTTTGCAGCATAAAGTTGCAAGCATGTGTGTATTATCTTCACCATGTCTGTCTTTCTGTATGTAATAACTCGATAACTGCTGAACAGATTTTTATTAAATCTGGTATTGGATGGTTTCACTAAAATTTGTTGACACATTTCAATTTTGTTTGCAAATGGACAACAAAAATGGGTATATTACATAAAAACTACATGTGGCTTTGTGCTCAGAAGTGACTGCATGTAAAATCCTCAGTTGGGAAATTCTCTGCCAGGCACCATACAGCACCCAAAACAGGACCTAGACTCTGAAATAATCTGATGTCACTGGTGCCATTCACAATGGTGAAGGGTCAAATGTGATGAATGTGCAAGAATTGGTATGCTTTGTTTATATATACTAACATGTTAATTTACTCATTATTTGTAGAAATTTATCAAAACATTTATATAAGTCTTCATACAAACTGAAACTGGTAATCTGTGATGTCCAATTTTGGCCAAATTCAATTCTACTGATAAACATAGTCACCTTTGTATCACTCTTTCATCTGTTCAGAGTAGAGTTATTACATGCAGACAGGTGAATGAGACAAGACCACTAGGTTCTTTGCTTCAGTGCACCACTTGAAGATAAGAATAATTGAATTGTATTCAGTACTTAAATTTCCATGTCATGGCATGGGTGCAAGAATATCATCCACAATATAAACCAAAGTATATTATTTTTAATTTAGTATCCTTTACGCTATGGCACACATTTATTCTACATAAAAAGGGAAATATCTGCAGATACAATTTTATTAAGTAAAATGGTAGAATAGAGTTGACATTTTCTCATACAGGAATAGGGGATTTAAATCCCTGCATTCTGGGGGCTGCCAGTCGTACTTCAACTCCGGTGTTAACAGTTTGGCTGTATGCTAGTGAGGCCACCTGAAGTTTAAAGCAATGACTGGGAAAACATCATTCTGAGTGTCAGAAGGATGTTTCAAATTTCCTAGATTTTAGTACCGAGTAGCAAAATGGTCTATTCAGCAGTAATTACTCCTTTCAAAATCATTCAGTAATACTTGTTCTATATCTGATGAAAGTAAATGTGCTGCATTTTTTACAGGTATCTTTTCTGTGAACTTTGCTTAATGATATGACAACATTTAAGGATTGTTTATGAGAAGCAAATATCATGAAACATTAACCTTTTTTGACCACATATCACAGCCTACATGCAGACTAGGTGTCAATGCATCAGAGTAGCATACTGTTAAACCATTATCCAAGAGCTAAGTCTGACTGTCAGCCACGTAGGACAAGGGTTTAAATCCCCTGTTTCACATATGATAGAGGTTAATAATTATTACTTCTGACTTATATAGGAACATTTCATTTCTGACAGTTCCTTATGTACTGAACTGATACAATTTTACTTCATGTTCAAGACAAGTGACTTACATTTCAAACTTTATTGCAAAGTGAACAAACTGTGTTGTGTGATATATGTGTGCATTTTTGCGTTTGATTACCACAGAACTGGATAAACTGATTTTTTAAGCAGAGTAATTTTGTGAGAAAAGAGTGATGTATAGTTGTGATGTGGGAGAAGGCTTTTTGGTTTTTAATGGCAGTGCGAGTTTACATTGTGCTCTTCCGGTTTTCTGCACCATGTAGTCTTTGGTTGTATTCCATTGTTTTGGGGGACATGCTGCCCGATATTCAACACTATAGACCACATGGTGCAACAGGTCAGAAGACCACAATTATTATCCTGTTTTCCATTTTTAATGCAGTCCTAAGAATGACATTTCTTGTTATGGGTGACTTGAACCAATTAAATTAACTGCAATTCAGTGACTGGATTTCAGCCACGTAGAGAATTATGAAATACATTGAAAATAATATATTGATTGGTCTATAGAAAGGGTATGACAGCAACTGCATAAATTAATGTATTTGATTATTTAGCTGCTTATCAGAACATCTTCACTGTTCAGGCAGATAATTGTCACTAAATTATTTGCTCATATAAAAGTCTGAAACATATTGTCAGTTAACCTTAAATGAACTTCACATGTTAACTTTTTCTTCCCAAAACTGTGAACACACCTGACATCTATATGTCAAGATAACAAATTTTTACTCTGCAATTTAAAAGCTTCTATTTATTAAGATAAGCAAAGGAAGTTAAAAGCTATTTGCTGTGTATAACTCAAAAACTTGGTAATATGAAGTATAACTGATGTGATGGATATAATTTCTGTTTATGGGCATCTTTGGATGAGAACCAAGGAAACATTTTACCTTCATGTCACCTGTGATAATTCATGATGTAACAGCCATGTAGTAACTATAGCAATTAATATGTCTTCTGCATTTCACTTTCAAACACAGCAGTATTATTTGTTGCAGGTACAGCAGAATGAACAAATTTCTTGTAATAATTAACAAGTGTGAAGTCACAACACTACTTTGGATAGCCCAAGTATGAAAACTCGTCACTACATCCACACGTTATATTGCACTCAGTCAGGAGGGTGAGGTAAGAACATTGACCACCCTGAGAGAGAATCAGACCCAGGCCTAGAGTAACCAACACTTGAAGTGACAACATGATTTCTGTTGATCATGTCCACCAAGTATGGTTGAGGTCATCTTGTGGCAAATTTCTCTTGGGCACAATGGCAGTATTCACCAGCATACTTGGAACTACCCTATTAGTATTACCAGGCACTGCATTACAGGATTGTCTCTGTAGAACATTTCTTACACCATCCAGTTCTCAGTATTGTCTGCTAGAGTTTCTCATCACTGAGGCTCACCATGTTGTAGTATGAGTGATCAGGAAATCTCTCCAGCTCAATGTACTCAGTCTCGGTAAGCAAGAGCTGCTCCAGTAACTTAATCAGTTCACTGAAACTGGGGCGCTCCTTAGGGTCTTTATCCCAACAATAATACATGATATTATACAGTTCTCTGCGACAGTGCTCTGGCTTGTCTAGCCTATACCCATCACGCACCCTTCTCATGACCTCAGCGGCTGCGAGACCAGGATATGGTGTGGAACCCAGAGTCACGATTTCCCAGATGAGTACCCCAAAACTCCAGACATCAGACTTTACTGAAAATATATTGTCATACAAGGACTCTGGTGCCATCCAACGAATGGGCAGTCGGCCTTCTGACTTGCGCTCGTACACGTGACTTGAGATAATATCTCGGGCAAAGCCAAAGTCTGCTACTTTGCAAATGTGATTTTCTCCCACCAGGATGTTTCTTGCTGCAAGGTCACGATGGATTATCTGTGGAAAGTAAATTTGTTATTATTATATGTTTTAGAAGTGTTGTTATATTGTACTGTGTTGGGCTTATTAAATATTTTCAGCTGTTATTCAAATGTATAAAAGTATTAGATATACTATTGAAAATATGTTATTTAATATAAGATTTAGACATTTCCACTGATGTGAAGTAGGGCATAGTGCAGTTCTATTCAACATTTATGTGAAACTTTTCCTTATGAAATATTCTTTTTTGTCTCTTAGTTTTATTTGCATGTGATTTATATCCTAACACAATGTCCAAATGTCACACATTTTTAAATACTCTGTCAGTTTTTCAAAATAACATGATCAATGAATCTTATGATTAATATTTATTAATTTTCAAAATTATAATACTCTGATCTGTTTTCTAAAACACCATATTAACATCTGCTAATTGTACAGAGTATCTTGAAACTTCATGCATCATTCTCAAGGGATGACAAATTAAAACTGTAAGGAAGGAATCATATGAAATGGAGAGAATTACACATTAATGAGTTTATGTTCAGGGGTTAAGCTGATGATATTGATATGTAATAGTTATGGAGTTGAGTAATTAAGTACCTGTAAGGAGAAATCTGGTAGTAAGAGACCAAATAAACAACAAGTCTGATTAGTATAATGGATATTCTGGAAAAAAGACTTGTGCTGAACTGGATTAAGGTAGCTTAAGTGATGATGTTATGGCAACATACCCCCTTCGAAGAGAGAAAATCCATGCCACGAGCGACCTGGTACACAAAGGAAGTGAGGTCCCGTGATGTCAGAGTATTGCTGGCTCCATGCAGGTTACCATAGTAACGCTCAGCACGTGAGTTACGCAGAAAACTCTGTAGCTTGCCATGTGGTACATATTCCATGATAACAAAGAGTGGCTCTGCAACAGATACAACTGATAGTGAAAAATGTTCATTTTTTTAAGAGTGTTTTCAAAGCGAACAACAGATATATAGGTCTGCTCATACTGTTTGTGTGTGATTATCTCTTCAGCAACATTTAAAGGATCGAAACTGTGTGGAAGGCTCTTTATAGGATACTGACTTAGCAACAAAACTTCTACTAGTAAACGCAAAATTATGACAGTAGAACTCTCTCTTCATTGGCAGTGTAAATTAGCTAGAAGCAATACACACTTTTCTCTTACCTTTCTCAGTGCAGCAACCCAGCAGCCGGACAACATTGGGATGTGGCTCCAGCATTTTCATGACTTGCAGCTCCTGCACCAGATCTGAGCGCTCCTTATCTGATGCATTCTCTTTCAGCGTCTTCACAGCCACCACCGTAGTGCCTTCCCGCCCTTCATTCATAAATGTCAGTAGATGATTTATTTCTTTGTTATTTGTTTCTAACTAATCTAATACAATATTATGTTCACAGAGATTTTTGTGGCATGTACGAAAATTTAGCCCAGACTAACACCTCTTTTCATGGATTTTATAGATACTCGATGCATTAAAATTCTGGTATTTTAAGATTTGAATTAAAACTGAATTGCATTACTACAGTAATATCTCATTTTTATCTGGAGGGACAAAAGAATCCTAGAACATGAAAAAAAATTACTTCTTTATGAGCTAGTTCCTGTATTTACCATTGAGGTCAAGGGCCTCACAGCGCCACACCTGCCCAAAGCAACCTTCTCCCAGGATGTTGAATACCTTGAGATGATGCCGAGGGAACTCCCACCTGTCTTCAGACTTGGTGTTTCCAGGTCCGGGTGTTTGCTGCCGAAAAATGTCATTAATGCACTTCAGAATTGAAAACATAAGGTCACAAATTTGTCTGTCCTTTTCATGTGGCGTGAAGCAAGACTTTTCATGTTGGTGAAACTGATCAGATCCATTTACTTTTTAGTAGTGTTGGTCAATATCTATTAGGAGCGAACAACACGTTACACAGAGCGATTCTTTCATTTACTGTATGTAATTATTACTTGCACTAAATGTAAGTGAAAAGTTCCTATAAACAAATGGTTGCAATTGCTTTGTGACGAAGTTAAGGCAACATTGCACAGAGACAAGGCATCGGGTCACAGTCATTGTTTTGGTAAAAATAACTGGTGTTCTCCTCATATGACCGTACGAGTTACCACCTTGACTCTCATAGGCCTTGATTTACATTTGTTAATGGAAGAATTACCTGATTACTGAAAGATGTACCATTGTCAATACAACATACAGGCATCCCTGCTTATTTAACCCATGATACAAAGAAATTTTTGGATTCTCAGTATCCAGATAGATGGATAGGACAAAGTAGGTCAGATCTGTGACCTCCACAATCCCTTGATCTCACATCTGCCAACTTTTACCTATGGCGCCATCCGAAGGACAGAACATGCTTTGGCATTTGATTCAAGCGGTTGTGACAAAAATACAAAATACCATACCAAGATTTCTTTGTGTCATAGGGATCATACATCCAAACTAAAAGACAGCATTTTCAGGAATTTCTGTAAATATTTTACAAACGTTAAAATGTTCTTACGCGTTGAAATAAAATAAATAAACGTGCTTTTCGAATACACCTTTACTTTTCTCATTTAAATTTCTGTAAATATTTTACAGACGTTAAAATGTTTTTACACGTTGAAATCAAATAAATAAACGTGCTCTTCGAATACACCTTTACTTTTCTCATTTAATTTCTTAACGCCACCTACTTTCACACACAAAGCAGTTGTGAGTAGAAAAAGTTACATTAATGTCAGCAATAAAGTAGATATGCGAAGTACATGCAGGAGGAACAATAATTTGCATTTGATTGTGCTGACCTGCAGGTTTGAGTCCCGGTCCCAGCCCTCGTAGCGATTGCTGTGGGCACGGGGACCCTGCCACTGCTGCAGCACCATAGGCTCCTCCAACCCGATGCCACCGGATGACTCCTTGTGCTACAACAACCAAAGACTATCAGATTTACTGCAGACTCGTTCCTTCATTTAGCTTCATATTAACAAGATAAATATTTAAAGACTTTTTTAAACAATTTTGGTTGTTCTATATTTATGTATGGAGGATATGTTTGATAATAATACTTAATGTAACAGGGATCTGTAGAAAGATCTATATGGTGTCAATGGTTATAAAAAGTGTGTGTACTTGCCATGTCATCCTTGTTGCCCTTATTTCGGTAACGACAAAACTTGCGGCGGAACAGCCAGGCAGCTGCCCCTCCCGTAATGAAGAGCCCACATACAACGGAAATAGGTATCAACGTTGCCGTGAGGTCGGGAACCGAGGTCACTGTGCCCTCCGCGTTGGTCGTGTTGTGATGTGGGCTTCCACCTCCTGGAAGTGGTGTCAGCGCTGTCTCTGTAGTCTGTACTGCTGAAAAATTGCACCAAGTTCCTTATACCAGTGCTCTACAACGGATGTACTTATTAGTGGCAACTGACACGCACCTCTTGCATGTTCCTGCACCGTAGCAGCTCTTTGGGTCGTCTGCGGGGGCGGCGGTGGGGGCGGTGGCGGTCTGGGCTTTCGATTTATTTCTGGTCTTGGCGGGGGTGGCTGAATAAAACCGGGTGGAATATTGCTGCCTCCAGAACTACCTCCTCCTGGAAACTGGAAGTGGGAGTTCGGCAAGTAGGCTGTCGCCCCCGGCGGAGGCCTCTCGTTGTTGATCTCAGTGGAATCGGGGGTGGCTGAAGAACTGCGAATTCGCGCCCACACTTCGGTTTTGCTTGTGACTTGGCCGTCGAAGACAGTGACGTACAGGAATAGCTGTTCGCCACCCTGAAACAATATCGTACATTTGTGAGAGCACAAACATTGAAATTGAGTACGTGGCAAAAAAACTAATTGTCCACGTTTAAAATATGTTGTGAAGAAAATTATAGCAAGGAACATGTTTACTGCATACAAATGATGAATCTTTGGAAGTAGTAACACATTTGGTTCAACGATTAATTATTTTCTTAGCCGTTTGATCACAGGAAACTTGAAAATAGTATCTGTCTGTCCGTCCATCCTTGGCTCTGCCCATAAATCGATTCTAATAAATAAATACCGACAAAACGCTGGGCTTCGCTCAAATTAATTTTAAAACACCATCATTTCAACTGCTGCTTTAACTCAGTTTGATTTGTCTTCTTTGTTCGGTCTCATGATTGAACTTTTCATCATTATAGTTGGCTTACTCAGCATATCTGTATCATTTTATGATTGTTTATGAACAAATAAAGACATTCATATTATTGGCATTGCGCATAGTCGGTGGCCACGTAACCAAATCAACTCGGCAGTATAAAAATCTGTTGTAACAATAAATTTCAACAAAAATTAAGCTCAAATTAGATGTTCTTGAGACTTCACATTGAAAGAAACCCATCACTAGAATAGTTTCCAATGTCTATTAAAGGCTTTGAAAACTGTTTTAGGGGAAAACAAATTCTGCCCCACAAACAAATTGTAAAGACAAACGCGTAATATGAAGGTGAAACTGAAACATATAACGGAGTTTGTTATCGTACAATCCTCGCGTATTTGTAGTTTTATCTTTAATCAAAGTTAATAATTCTTGTTCTTGTTCTTGGCGGCCGGAGTTCGATGTCTAACTCTGGCTTTGGGCGTGATCCGCAACAAATATTGAGTATTATCCAACGTTACAGCAAATATCTCAGTTACCATCTTCAGGGTAAATGTGTAGTGGGCAAATTTTTGAAGCCTTATATAGGGCAGGTAGTTGTAGCAAATTCGATTTGATAGCGGCCGCTCTTTCGCTCCACAAGTCAGCACCATAAAATGTAACTCCCAACATGGGAAATGTCTTTTTAATTACCACAAGCTGATTTTTTATGCATAACTTTAGTAATAAAATGTGCGTGGTATCGAGATAAGTTCAGCATCTTAGATACCAAAATAATGTCTAATATATTCATATAATTAGTCAACCACCGAGAGAAATCTTCAGAGAATCATAATCTGTTGCATATTCGTATTAGTAATGGCAGCTGTCATGGTAATACAGCATTGCTTTCTTGTCTTCGAAAATCACACCGATGATGACGGTGTGCCGAATGTCCAGAGGGTTACCAACCACCCCATCTCCAAACTAAATACCCGTCCACTTTTGTCCACCTCGGGAAACTCGGTCATTCCACTAAAGTTGTATGAAACAAGAAATCATAAATTGCCATTGCTAGCTACAGAGTATTTAGGACGGTGTTGTGCGTACCTAAGGCTAGTGACTTTTAAAAATACACGTGGCAGTGCTTTCGTTATTAATAATATGCAGGCAACTTCCGGTCTCCCTGCCTCACCCGTTTCTGACAAAACTTTGCTCTGAGACTGCTATGCGTAGTACGTTGGCAGCATTGTTATGCGTTGATGTGACTGTGGTGGTGGTTTAGTGGCGTGCCATCTCTTTTTGATTAACGAAATATAACATTTTTATTACGTGAATGCATTAGAATTCCTTAAATGTAAGTTTTAATTCCTTTCAACTGGTCCATTAGCCTGGCAGGGCACGTAATTTTATCATCTATATATGATTTGTAAACTGTCTGTCAAAAAGTTTACCCCTACCGCCTTCCGGAACGAATTCACCACTGGCTAGATGCACAGAGTTGAGCAGTCACCTTGTTTCACGAATAGTCATGGCGGAACTGAATGTGGTTTGGGTGTCGTGTATGTCGAGTTTACTCATGTAAAACGCAGTTTGCATTATTAATTGTGTGGTGATCTAAGTGTGTGTGTTCTGTGTTTTCATTCGTTGGTGTGATTTCAAGTGTCTTAATCTCGTGTCCATACTAGCAACATATTTCGTCGCGTTTAGCAATAAGTGAGTTGATAAACATCGCCAAGGTTAGGCTTATTACTGTGTCGGAATACGAGGTAGGATACTTCTTTACAATGCGGTAGCCAGATGTACGATGAAAGTTGTATACTTTAGTTTGAGATTTCCTGGACCGGGAAACCATGCAGTAAGTGGTTACCGGATTCGAAGGAACCTGCTGCTTCCATCTTAAGCGTAGGGCATGACAACACGGTGTCACAACTCATATAAAGAATCCCAACTTTCACCATCGTCAGTACATAATGCCTCGTATATAATACTTGAAATGTGTTACAGTTTATTGACAGTTTAGGTACCTTATAAGAGCTTCTATTGATGCTGTCTGTGTTTCCGTGGTTTGTTATTAGACTTTTAACTTCACATTTATTTTCAACGCAAATTGTTTTCTTAAACGCGTGCGTTTCGGCATAAACATACCATTATCAGTGCTTGAGTACGCTAAGCACAACAGAACGAGGGCGCATAGCAGATAAACCAGACAAGCTACATTTGACTAGTGCATTACGGAAAGGGCGTCAAAATAAGTTCGTATATGCAATGAGTACCACCGTCATGATTTTTAAATACAAATAATTTTAAGTGAAATATATAATGTAGCTGATATTTTGTTATGAAAATGGTATAAATTTTAAATATGACATTTTAAATTTGTGCACATAGGCACTATACTCTGATGTTCTCTTGATGTTCATAATGGCTGTGATTGTATTACAAAAATGGAAAGTTTCCATTATATGAATGTACCATGTTCAAGCACTGATGGCGACGTGTTTGTTCCGTAACGCGACTGTTTATGAAGACAATTTGTGTTAAGTGTGTAAGGAAAATAGTTACAAAATTTAAAATTTCTGGGAGCTCTAGTAGTTCTAAATACGAACCTCAAGTTCAACAACAGGTTTTCGTTGCCACCGCATTGTAAAGAATTTCCCGTACACATAATGGACCTTCCTTCGCTACATTGGCGGCATTTTGAGGCAGCCTTGCATCGTTTGACATCGGAGGTTTCGGTGAGTACAGAAATATTTTAAACTTTTTCTGAAAGTTTTATTTTAGCCTGTACAAAGTGACATAAGCTATGAAACTACTGAATGATTTGTCTCACAAAGTCATATAATGTACAATTGAAGTGAATGCACCTAATTTGCCAGTCCCAAGTTAAATAAGTTAAGAAGAATTCGTATAATCGCCAATTTATATCTTACTAATTTTCACTGATTTATTTTTATTCCGGTGCCACAGACATACAATTAGACACAGTAAGGTCATCGTGGTTGTTTCTTGGCTCTACAACCCAGTTGTGGGATTTCGCCGCCTCCTTTTCGGAGGTTTCCTAGTCTTTGAAGTAGTGAGTGACCAGGTAACTGACCCTGTTGACGAGCGATTCGTTGATTTTGACCACTCCCGTGGTGCTGTTGATGGCGAAGGGAAGCGGTCTATCCGGTGAGCCCGCTCCGTTGTAGCCCTTCGCCTCTAGTCCGTATTCCAGACGGTCCTTCTCAGGGTCCTCGGCATTTACTCTGGCGATGACCTCTCCCACCGGGTCCGTATCGTGGACAACCCAGTTCCTGTCCAGGTATACAACTGGGGGCGTGTTGTTATCTGTTAGCTGACCCAGTGCTGCAAAAACACCAACACAAACCCTTTAAATGAGAATTTAGGACAATGTTCGACCACAAAGCGCATAAATGGAATCCTGCCTGGGAACGGTTTAGATCTTGTAATAATTTAATCGGCACAAATCTTGGTAATGAAACTAGGAATAAGCCTGATAGCGAATAAAGTTGATGTCTAGAAGACAATGTATTGTGAATATTCGTGTGTCGACCGAGAAAGATACATAAGATTACACCGCTTGGGGCTTCAAAACCAAAACTTTTCGGCTAATATTGTGTGTTATGGAGTACAAATAAAGAAGGCAGGTTATGTAGGGTGGGTGCAAGGATTTCTGAAAAATTGCATTATTAGTACTTGTGGGTTATCGGGACACATCGCTTTAAAATACTTGTCATTTATTGAAATAAAATACAATAACTCTCAAGTATATGTCATTTATCCACACACATTAACCTAACATAACATAACTTAACCTAACCTAACCTAACCTATTTCAAGTACCGCATTATTAATTAATTATTAAATATAATTGGGGGACTCGGGCATAGATGGAAGGATAATATTAAAAAATACGAAGTAGATAGAAATAGCGCAGGAAGGACATACGGCGCGCTTTTGTGATAACAGTTATGCATCTTACAGTTGCATAACAATAAAGGAATTTGTTGAGCAGATTAAGTAGTAAGTGTCAGAAGTTAAAAAAGGTCCTTTGCCGTGAAGTGCCATGCTATGGATTTCATAAATGAAGCCCAGAAGATTTTCAGGTTTAGTAAAGAACCATAACTGATGAAAGAATGGAGCTGAGGACAGAAGTAGTTTACTGCAAAGCGAATTGGAACCTGCATTTTGTGACCAGACTTAGGAGTGGGTGAAACATTTTTATAAACTGTAAAAACAGAACAGTGATGCGGCAGGATATATTTCTGTATGATGTTACCTGTCAGTCACTATTCTGATCGGGGACCTCTTACTGAAACACTACCAACGTTCAACCACCAATAAATACAACATGTGTTAAGATTGTATTTAAAAATTCAGTTTTTACCTAAAATAAATATTGCAGTTTATTCTCATAATCGTATATCACCCATACACACTTGGCGAAAAATGCAGATTTGTTGTTAAAGCTGTTGGTACATATACGTACCAATGTGCTTTGAAAGGTTAATAGAACTTCCTGCAAACTTAAGGCATTTAAAGTTGCTGAACTTGATCGAACGCTCTAAGATAATACCTACTTCCTGAAAAGTACTAAAATAAATGTATCTTTGAAAACTTTTGTCTTGTGTGTTCTCTGTTGATTAAATTTTATTCCGTTATATCATTAACACCATGTTAGTAATACTAATGCAGAAATTCGTTCGTCGAACTTGAAATTTAATTTTCTCTGTCTGCCGTGATCTTTTGGCAACGTACTTCACAGGTATGTTCGGCTGGTAGTCTAGACTTCGCCTTGCAATCTATGGCATGAACCGTTATTTTATTGAGTCAAGGTTTCTCGGAAACAACAGGGAGTTAAAGAATAAGTTTCTTGCGTCTTAAATCTCTTTTGGAGTTTAAATTACAAATATAACAGATATTAGTTGGTTTTGAGTGCCCAAACTGGTTCTGAAAGTCAGCTTGTCTCCCTGACTACCACTGTTTTCTTGCGCAAAGCGGAAAATTGTAGCGGGTTGTAAGCGGAACAAGTCTTGTCATCACGTCAGCAGATTGTATTTACACCTCGTGGGCAGCAGGAAGTGTTCTGGTACCACCACCCCCCCTCCGCGGCCCCCCAGTCCATGAGTCCTGAAGCAGGGCGCTACTCACAGCTTTAACTCTTTCGTAGGAAGGTACAAAGGCAGAAATCTCACTCATCCCTGACTGTTACAGTCCACTGTTTGCGTAAAACCAGTTGCAGTGTGAATACTCTGATCGTACGAATGCTTACCAGCAAATCCTGTACGAAATCGTGCGACCAATAGTCGCATATTCCGGCCCGTACTAAGGACAGATCAGGTGAATAGAAACTGGAGTTTAAGTGATTCCTTCCGAATGCAGGACACACAAACAGTCCACTCCTTTGTTCCTCGGAGGGAGTGAGCGATGTTCAGGTATTCGCGTCACTACTTCTTCTGATTGTAAATGTGGGACACGACACGCGCGCCCTCCATACTGTAATAATTGCTGTAGTAATTGCTGTGTAAGATTCTATCTTTCCTGCCTGAGAGTGAACGATGTAAATTTTAGGCTGCAAATGGTGAGTCTAAGTTTAAGTGTGAGACTTGTAAGAAGAAGTTACGGAGAGTGAGGTCTGAAAGCATTCCTGTTCGTTCTCTGAAATCTGCCACGGCGGGACGTGACGCCATCGGCAGCTCTCAAGGACAACGTAACGAAAACAGACAAGAATCCGCTGTCATCTGTCTGGTCGTGTTCAGGGGCCCACGGCCGTGCCCGTTGTTTCTGCTGCCATTTTGCAGCCGAAGACCGCCATAAATGGAATGCATTGAGCCGACCGTGGGACCTGGACATTCCGTTACTTCTACTCTGCTGCGTAGTCTGCTGATGACGGCTTTGTCAGTCGCTAGGAAGTGGAGGGTTAACTACTTGACTCGTCTGATAACTCTTCTAAGGAACTTCGACCCGCAATGATGGGGTGAGAAGCTCTTCTCTCTCTCTCTCTCTCTCTGTTACAGCGAAAAGAGTGTTTTTCTCTCCTGACATCGACTTCTGCAGACATTGAAAAACCCTTAAAAGAGCAACTAAAGCTTACATCATCTGCCTCCACCACCGTAAGAACATAATTTAATTCCTATGCTTCAATTCATATTTCAGTTGTAGAGGAAGACATTCATCTTATCAATTATACCAATGTTTGGCCTAGTGGCTGTTTAATCGTCTCATGGACGACTTAATCCGAAAAAAATCATTATTCTACATCTGTTTCATCTCGTACTTCTTTCTCTGGTGCAGGAGTCTCGTCATTCGGCCCAGTAGGTTAATCTGCAAATTCTGATGGACCGCAGTAGGATGGGGCTTCTGCAAATAATTAACCGCTTATATCTACGATGTAAATACGTGTGGTTTTTCCATGTCTAACACTTAGCCAGTAAATTCTTTAGACTTTTATTATCTAAACATCAGAGATCTCTGGACTAAACAGCTTGAACTGTGATAACATCTGGTCCTCGGACTACAATATAATATGTTTAACTGGGACATGGCTTAACGACGTGATACGACCACTATTTATTTGCTGACGGTCACCGTTCTGACAGAGCTCGTACTAATAGGACGCGCGGAGGTGGAGAGATAATAGTTTTATACCCCAGAGTTCGTTCCTGTGAACGTAGGCATGATTCAGGTGCTTTCGGCGAATGTGTTGAAATCCCCATTTATGACGGTCTAACTTTACTTATTGGCAACCATAACTTACCCCCTGACACAATACCAGAAGTTAGTACTGATTACTTTCGCTTTTTAGAAAATAATTTGGACACCAAAAATTTTCGAGTTATTCTCATGGGTGATTTCAACACTCCTCGTTTTGACTGGAATCGCGGTCTCTCTCAGCCTAATTGTCATTATTATTCCAAAGTCAGGAAGATGCCATTGACACTTCCACGTGTCTTTTAGACCTCAGTCAACAAATAGATACTGTTCATTGCAGTAGTCTCCTAGCCTTGGTATTTACAAACTTCAGTAAGTTACGTATTAATTATGTTGGCTCTGGTGTAAATCCTGATGTCTTCTTCCCCTTTGAATCGTGACCTAGTTCAAGCATTTGCCTGGAGGTCCTAAGGAAAACCACGAACACTTGCCAACATAGCGTGTTTCCGTGACTGTTTTTGAACATGGTACTTCCTTAATATGAAACAGGAGTGCTAACCATTGGAACGTGACCTTCGGTTTCTTCGTGTGTTCGTTTGATATATTTTCCTTAATTGAGTCGCTTTTATTTCTTTCCTGTGCTGATTCTGCAACTGGCCTCATGGCTATTGAGTCAACGTATAACTAACGTTGTTTTTTATTTTATTATCGGTTAATATTGGGTTAGTGGCTTTCCCCAAACTAATTTGCATTACTACACCAAAATTAGAGGTAATATTGTTAAGAACGCTACATGTTATCATGGACTTCAGCAGTGTAACTTCACTATTTTTATGACATTGCTAATTTAGATTTTTTTCTGGTTGTCCCTAATTCTCAACATCCTCCCTTGTGTTCATGTCAGGGTACTTACATCCGCTAGGATAATTAGATACTACTTTACATTTATGATAATTTTATACTTTCAAGATCAGTCACTCAGCTAGACGTGTTTTGCTGCCAATGCTATTTACAAGGTCACTGGCATGTTAAACGAATATTTATATTTCGCTTACGGACATTTTACGACGTTACTTCTAGTTACATTTTGTTTAAACTTTCCTTTGTCCGTATCGTGCAGGTTTTGTATTGCACGTTTGGACTGTGTTTCATTTGTTTTTTAATCTCTTACGTCATTTGTTGATTTTATTGTATTATATTATCCTGCACTGTTGTTTTAGTCCTTGGCTGTAATCGACCTTGTCTGACTATTGTCACGCACATAAATATTTATTGAATTGTTATCACGATTAATAAGTCAACTAATTTGTCGTACGGTAAATTGTATAATGCGATCAAACAAAATGTAAATAGTAACAAGACGTAAGCCACAAGAAATGCTGATATCCCACAACGAAGTGGACTCCGCCTTATTCTACTTTCGGACAGCCAAACTAAATTAAATGGAATCAGCAGCCCGACACTTTTTCCGTCCCTAATTGCGTAAGATTCCTCGCCTCTCTGTGGAAATCCCCGCAGAAGAATGAACGAATCCTTGAAGCTGCAAATCAGTTCCTGGAAAGATCTGGCGTGTTTTGGAGGACTACGTACAGGTCCGGCGAGATGCAATCTGTTTTATCTTCTCCATCCTATCCTTTACGCTCCAGCTAACAACTACATGCACTTGCGTTATTGTAAAATCAGACTTAAAATTT